AGCTCCTGCCTTTGGGGACTTAAATATATCATGCAGACCTTTCCATTTTAAGTAATGCGGAGAAATTGATTTTGTTGAATGACTCTTTTAGCCATGGAATTTCTGATTAGCTTTTAGATAAATGAATGCATGATCAATCTTAAATATGTAGGGTTTTCATTTCAATCTCCTCTACTGGTTTACTTAGTATAACCATTGATAGCTCCTGTGCTGATTGTGCATAGTCATAACTCCTCTGTACACAGAATTGCTTACAACACTTTTCAAGGGAAGGTATACTTGGAGAATATGGTAGTTGTTGACATTATTTGGTTTCACCTAGCTCCTACACGCATAATTGCTTTCTAAAACTAACAGATTGGTGGCAAACACAGGCTGCTGGCTGAGGCTATATTGCTATAGCCTGAGTTTGATCCCTGGCCAGGTTGCTGACCCACATATGGCACTGCAGACCTCTCCTGTCTGGCCCACTGTTCCCCTCAGCAGTGTATTTCAGTGATTCAAAAGACCACCTGTACCCCTATGTTTATTGCAGCACTATTTATAATAGGTAAAACCTGGAAACAACCCAAATGCCCAAAAATAGACGACTGGGTCAAGAAGATGTGGTATATATACACAATAGAATATTATTCATCAATCAAAAAAGATAAAATCATGCCATTCTGCCTGTGCATCTGCCTTTTCTGCTCCCCACTCTGTATCTGGTGAACCCTCTCAATCCCCTGACAAACCCCCCGCCACCTCTGGCCTGCACCCCAGTTCTTCTATGCAAAATAAATAAATAAAAATATTTAAAAAAACTAAAACTAACAGATGACCATTTTCATGATGTCAACATCTCGATAGCAGTCTAAGCTTTATATGAAAAAAAAATTCTCTAGATAGTAAGCCAATAGTATCAGGTTTCATGCCTGTCACTTGATTTTGCTGCATTCAGTGGATATAGCAGGTGCTGGAGGGGAATACTGTGGTGCAGTGTGTTCCTCATTTGTCACAGTGGAAGCACTTATGATATAATCTGCAATGTTAGCATTTTCCCCCCCTCTTAAAAATGTGCTATTTAATGGCACATATCAAAAAACAAGTAACAACAAATGTTGGCAAGGATGTGGTGAAAAAGGAACTCTCCTGCATTGCTGGGAGTGCAAACTTGTCCAACCACTATGGAAAGCTGTCTGGAGGTTCCTCAGCCTACTAAAAATGGAGCTACCACATGACCCAACAATTCCACTTTTAGGGATCTAAAACACTGGTTTTTAGGACACAAAAACACTAATTCAAAAGAGCACCTGTACCCCTATGTTTATTGCAGCACTATTTACAATAGGTAAAACCTGGAAACAACCCAAATGCCCAAAAATAGATGACTGGATCAAGAAGATGTGGTATATATACACAATAGAATATTATTCATCAATCAAAAAAGATAAAATCATGCCATTCGCAGCAACGTGAATGGAACTAGAAGGAATTATGCTCGGTGAAATAAGCCAGAAGGAAAAAGAAAAATATCAGATGGTTTCACTTATAGCAGGAATATAGGGGAACCAAATAAGACATCAGTGTAAAAAAAATACTAGCAGCACAAAACACAACAAAGCAAAAATGGACAATTATAAATCAGAGACATCCTGCAGGGGAGGAAGTGGGAGAGGGATCAGAGGGAGGGAGGGAGGAGCACAGGGGACTGAGGTGATGGTGCACAGGTGCATTGGGGAAGGAAACTCTTTGGGGACTACACCTGAGGGGGTGGGGGAAGCAAATATTGTTTAAAAATGAACAATGGGGCCTCCCTGGTGGCGCAAGGGGTTAAGCACTGCACTATGAAGCAGTCTGAGTTCAATCCTCTGACCAGCTAGGGAGCAACCCATATGGCGCAATGGACCTCTTCTGTCTTGCCCGCTGCTCCCCTCAGCAGTGTATTTCAGACTGTCTGCCTGTCCTTCTCCCCACTCTGTATGTGGTGAATCCTCTCATCCACCCATACCTGTGGCTTGTGCCCCAGTTCTTGTATGCATGGATAGATGAATCTTTAAATAAAAAACTAAAAATGAACAATGATGTAAAAAAATTAATTATTAAAAAAAGCACTATTTAAAAAAATAGCACATTTCTTTGAGAATGGAGATGGAGTGTGACTTTAAAGTCTTTGAAAAATGTCTTGTTATTTTTGTGTAGACAGAAATCTTAATTCTTCAAAAAAGTTGCTTAGCTCAAGTTGTTTAGTTGATATAAATAAGTACGTAGTCCTGTGAATCATACAGTAGCATCAAACCAGACTTCTGATACTTGTATCAGTAAAAGAAAGAAATGATAGTCAATCAACTGTCCAGGGTTTTGTTAAGTTTAAACACATATCAGTGTTTTATGTACATTTCTTGGCTTTCTCAAGTGTATCTGCCTTAAAAGCAAATGCAAAACAGAGAACCTTTATGAGAGAACTAATTGTATTGATCATATATGTCATAGAACTCAAAACAACACTTAATGACTTATAAATATCTGAATATTTTTTAAGCATCTACATTTTTTGGTAGCTGACAGTTCTGTAATAGTTTAGGTACTTAAATATTCCAAAACAGAAAGGTCCTCTAAAGAGAACAAAAGAGGCTATCACTAACAGATACTAGTTATAAATATTCTAATATTAGAGCAGATTGATTATCAGATCTCTAGTAGTGAAAATAAGTGGGATTATGTGCCTCCCTGGTGGCGCAGGCAGTTGAGCGCAGCGCTGTGAAGCTGTCCGCAGCCTCTGCAGTGTGGGTTCGATCCAGCCGGCTGCAGAGATACCCACCTGGTGCGGCAGACCTTCCCTGTCTTGCCTGCTGCTCCCCTCAGCTGTGTATTTTGGTCAGTCTGCCTGTTCTGTTCCCTGCTCTGTCTCTGGTGATCCTCTCACCCTCCCGCATATCTGGCCTGTACTCTGTTACTTGTATGCATGAATAAATAAATCTTTAAAAAAAAAAAAAGAAAAGAAGTGAGATTAAATGCCCTCCAAATATAGACACTGTCAATAAGTTTATAACATAGTTATCATTATGTTTTATGCCACAGTCTTATTTTAGAAAATGAAACATCTGAACCTCTGTTGGCAGAAATAATTGGAAGAGAATAATATCTTGGGTAGCTTTGATTCTCTTGAATATTCCTAGCAGCTAAAACCAAACCCCCCTTTTGTGAGCATGTATAGCTCTCAAGTTAATATATAGCTGCCTTCTTACAGCATAAGCTCAATTCCCTCAGCAATATCAGAAAAAATGGCCAGAATTCCTCAAAGTGCTTTTCCTCATGTGCCTTCATATTCCATTAATAGAGAACATAAGTAAGTTATAGCTGGTATATGAGACATTTTGGTGACTTACAGATGAGCTTAAACAATTGTCAATGACATACGGGAGAGGGAGAGTGAATATAAACCTCAAACCACTGCTTCACTTTTCTTTTTTATAGAGCACAACATTTATAGCTCTGAACATTTCTAAGATTTATAGCGTCCTGACTTGTTTTCATGTAGAGCAGCAATATCACATCACAACCCCTGCTGCTGTTTATATCAGCAGCAATTAAAATTTGATTTACTAATCCTCCTTTGCTGCCTCTTGAACTCCTCATTTTCCATTTTTGGAGAGCCTTAGAATTGTTACAGCCGAGCATCATGATTTTAACACCTCCTCAACCATCTGGCACAGGGAAAGAGACATCTAAACAGATTCTTTCAAAACAAAAATCACATATAAGCAAGATCAGAATAGTGAGAGCTAAAACAAGTAAAGGAATGAAGAGAGCCTGAATGACAACAAAGGATAAAGCAGAACCCAAAAGAGGGTTTGAATTGAAAGTCCTACTTTTCTTCTTTTTTTTTTTTGTTTTTTTTGTTTGTTTGTTTTTATTTTTTACATCATTGTTAATTTTTAAACAATATTTTCCCACCCCCACCCTCTCAGGTGTAATCCCCATAGAGTTTCCTTCCCCAGTGCACCCATGCACCATCACCTCAGTCCCCTGTGCTCCTCCCTCCCTCCCTCTTCCCTCTCCCTCCTCCTCCCCTGCAGGATGTCTCTGATTTATAATTGTCTGTTTTTGCTTTGTTGTGTTTTGTACTGTTATTTTTTTACACTGATGTCTTATTTAGTTCCCTTATATTCCTGTTATAAGTGAAACCATCCGATATTTTTCTTTTTCCTTCTGGGTTATTTCACTGAGCATAATTCCTTTTAGTTCCATCCATGTTGCTGTGAATATGAAAGCCCTACTTCTCCTGGGAAAAAAATCTGCCTTTGTTTTCTAGAAGAAGGAAAATCACAGTAGTCATAACTAGAAACTTTTTCTAATTCCAGACTAGAACTGTTCACTTTAGGAATCAGAAAAATGTTGTAATGTGTTTTGTTTATTTGTTCCACCATCTTTTCATTCTCTTAACATATGAATTTGCTTTTAAAATTAGGCTTTATTCATTCTTTTAGATAAGAAAATGTATTTCAACCACTGCCACTGTCATTTTATGTTAGTAGAAAGTCTTGTGAAGGTTTATTTCGAGAATAGAAGATTCGCTACTTAAGGAAAAGTCATATTATTTTGATCCTAATACCTGATATTTTCTGCTTTGAGAACTGTCCATGTAGATAGATCTTTAATCAGTGAAGTGATTTTAGGTATGACTGTTCAACAATCTTCTTATTCTGAATTTGATCTGCTTAGTGGCTATTGAATTTTTACCATTATGCAATCCTTAAAAAAATGATTCAAACTTCTGTTTTTTCCCCCATTTTCTCTTAATTATTGTTCATCTTTGTCTGGGTGAAGATGATGTGCTATAGATAGTCATGTGTTGGCTGAAATGAATGTGGGCAGGCTAACGTGGTGCTTTGCAGCAGTCAACTTGAAATAAAAAACAAACCCTCAGGGACACCAATGTACTTGATTTTGTTATTGCTTGCTGTTGCTTCATCTTTCCTTCCATAATCTTGCTCTCATGCTGCCTCATGCCTGAGCAGACTGCATCATCAGAGCGTCGAGGAGAGTGGGAAATCCAGCCCAGCCGGCAGACCAATACCTCATACCTGACGTCTCACTTGGCTGCAGACCGCCATGGGGGATCAGTGCAGGTACTTACTGCCTTTACTGCATTTTCTTGGCCATCCCAGCTTTATTGGTAGAATGTTGGCTTGCTTCTGAAACCTGGGTTCCTTTGGAATGGAAACTTACAGTGAGGTTGAGCCTCTTCTGTAGTTAACTGAAATATTTGTATACTGATTTTCTGCCTAGATGATTTGTAAGAGTCACTTGTTAATGATTGTTGCTTGTTCTCATTGACTAAGAAACATCTATATTATCTCTGATGTTGATTTTTGGTTAAACTAATCCTACAACCTTGAACCACTAGGGATAAACCATAAAAATAAAAAAGTAGTATTGTGTTAGTGCCAAATCTGTGAGTTCTAAAGATCTGAAACATATAGTTAGTATTTTTTGGACTAGTATTTAAAGGACTAGAGAACAGAGGACTGCATATGTGGCTCCTTCCATGATGATCTGTGCCTTAGTGCATGATAAGGTGAGAATGTTAGAAATCTGGCTGTTGCATTTTTCTCTGTGGTATAAGTGTGGTTTTGGAGAATTGTTTCTGATTTCATTTGGATTATTTTGAATCTCTGTTCACTCTAGTCCTAAGAATATCTTGTGTCTTTTAGTTTTCCTTATATATCACTATCTGATCATCTTAACCTAAGTATTGCTTTCATACTGGTAAGTGACACCACCTCAAGTGAACCCACCACAAGTAATCCCAGAGCTACCAATATAAATTCTTACAAAGGGGAAGATAAACCTGTTGCATATAGAAATGCACTTTTAGCAGGCCTGGTTGTCCAAGATATGCCTTTACAGGCAGTGATTCACTGAAGATCGTTTTTCTATAGGAAGTTAGTACAAAACTTTCATCTATAAAAACCTCACAGGAGCATATAGGTAAAAAATAACAGATCTACTCTGACCCTCTCCTAATCCAACACTAGAAGAATGGTAAAGGGAGTTTTAAGGCATAAATCCATATATGGAGAGAGAAAACAGAAGAGACAGAAACAGTGACAAATGTTAGAAGCCAGAAAGCAGCTGGGCAGGCCCAAGAAAATGGATTTCTGAGAATCTCAAAACAATGGAATCATGAACCAATAACGGAAAAGCCTAAGGAGTCTATTTTCCTTGGAAAACTCCCAAAGGTTCAGGAATTAGCCTAATATAGGGAGAGGAAGGTGTGGAAGGGCACGCGTTAAAATAAAGATTGGTTGAAAGTTTTGTTTTTGTTTTGTTTTTGAAGCTATAGACTTCTAGATGTATTCCTCCTCCCTCAGCAAAAACAAAGATTTCTTCTCTGGAGAAGGCAAAATAAAGGGGCTCTAGGTTTGGGGGTACAAGGCAATTAGAGGAAAGTATTATATTGAAAACAGGAGATTAAATGAATGTGTGCTAAGGAAAGGTGAGTTCATCTGACATTAAAGGGCTGTGTTGTGTTCAGAAAAGAAGGACAGTAGTATAGGCTACTGAGTGGGATATAAACACAAATAAGAATTGTGTGCAAAAAAATGAAAAGAAAAAAAGTATTCATACTGGACTGCCTTCTTCCCCCATTTAGTTTCAGAATGATGATATTCAGGCAGGCGATTACATCAGTCTTAGGGACTCTGACCAGCCCATATGAAAACATTGAACATACTGATAACAGGGTTTCCCTGATGAAGTGACCCAGCAGATCCTTCTGCAGTGAGATCCACACTTAGTGTCCCCACCCATTTGTAAAAATTTTTAAGTATAAAAATAACATTTATCTACCATTATTTTGTTTTGTTGTTTTTTAAATTTATGTATACAAGAGCTGGGGTGTAGGCCAGAGCTGCTGGGAGAGGTGAGAGGATTCACCAGAGACAAAGTGGGGAGCAGAACACGTGGATTGACTGAAATACAATGCTGAAGAGAGAAGTGGGCAAGACAGGAAAGGCCTGCCAAGCCATTTGGGTCAGCTCCCTGGCCAAGAGCTACTACTCATGCTGTAGTAGCTGCAGATTGTTTCATAGTGCTAAGACTTAATCCCTTGCGCCACCAGGGAGGCCCCTGATCTACCATTGATTTCAACAATGGTAATACTGATTTCAATAAATGTAATATCAATTACAATTCTTATGGAGGGTAATTTGTCACTATCAAAATCTTAAACCTTTGTATTTTCTGATAGAGTGACTCTAGTGTCAGATAAATATCCCTCAGAAATGGTGGGCCTTTCTGTTGGCCTAGGGGTTAAGTCTCAGTGCTATCACTGCTATGGCCTGAGTTTGAGCCCAGCCAGTGGTTTGAGAAATTGTACCTGCAACCTGAAATAGTTAAGTGAGTGATCTAAAAGCTCAAATTAGTGCATTAATTCTCAAGCGTAATTTAGGTGCTATTAAATTTAAGGTTATACAACTGGCAGTAAGATTCCCATTTGTGCCTGAGTCATTCAGGATCAGATGGTCATTGATATAGACAAGATGTCAAATCTCTAAAATTGGAATAACCTGCTCTTCTTTAGATTACCCAGTGCCATTTCCTGTAGGCCAAGTGGCAATTCATAGCAAGGAGGAATTAAAGCGTATCAGACATGTGAAATTTGGTAAGCAGACACCATGACCTAGAGTCGCCAGGTAACTCACAGTGGTGATGCTTGCTTCTGCTTTGTTCGTGTTGTAGAATCCAAGACTTTGTATTTTATATCTTGTCTAGTACCTGAATTATTCATTAACAAACTTAACAGTGATTTCTCCTTTAACCATTGTGCTCAGAGTAAACTTAGAGGTATTATCACTAGTGGGTAACAGGATGTGCTCACAAGAAGCAAATGGAGGATGGAGAAATGACTAGGATAGCATTTTTTAGTGCAGGATCTGTGGTCTTCCTATTTGTAAACCCTCTCTCTTCAACTTCTTGTTTTCACTGAGCTTTTGTCAATTTTTTATTTTGCAATTCTCAAGTCTACAGAAAAGGTGTACAGGAAAGGTGGGGAGGGATGCGTGGGATGCATTAAAGTTATATAAATTCTCAACCTAAATTAACAAGTAATATTAAGATATTTGTCTTATTTGCTTTAATTCTGTGGAGAAGGGTATTGTTGCTAAACTATTCGAAGTGAATCCTTACATTTCATTTCAAAATACTCAGCCTGAATCTCCTAAGAACAAAGACAATAACAATTGTCATATCTAAGAATAGTAATAAAAATTCCATAATATTTGACGTACAGTCCATATCACATTTCCCTGAGTTGTCCCCCAAATTTTTAGTATTCAGAATCTAATCAAGTTTCATGCATTGCATTTGATTGTTATGCCTCTTCAGTCTCTTTCAGTCTGTAAGTCACTCCTCTCTTAAAAGGAAAAAAAAAGATTTTTAAGATATAAGTTTGTTTTGTTTTGTTTTTGAAGCATCCAGACTTGTCCTAGAGAATATCCCACATTTTTGATATGTCTTTTTTTTTTTTTTTGTAATACTTACATTACTTTCATGCTTGTCATTATGAGGTAAAACCTTTGACTATACAGTATTTATACTAACATTATGTCATGTCAGGAGATAAATAAGGTTAAGTAGTTCCACTAATCAGAGATGCTAAATTTGATCACTAGAAGAAATTTGGGTCTCCCTTGGTTAAGTTCAAATGTAGGCTTCTTTGACCAACCATATAGTATTGTTTTAATTTTTTTTTAACATGCATTGAGACTGCTAGTAAGTAGTATTCACTTTTTCTCTTTACCCCAAAAGCTGCTTATACTAAACATTTCCTACCTTCCTCTTTATGACTATATAGGAAGCTTTTACACATTAATTGCTGCTTAATTGCTGGTGAGGACCCGAGATGTAGAGGGAGAGAAGAATAACATTAGTGGAGGGGGAATAACAGTAATATGAACATTTATTGAGCCATTACCGTGTACTGTGACACTGGGCTAATCACTTTTTATGGATTGTCTGCACAGTAACCCAATTAGGTAAGCAGCATTGTTTCCCCATTTTACAGATTAGGAAGCTCAGGCAAAGAAAGATTGAGGATCATGCCCAAGGACCCACAGCAAGTAAGTGGGTTCAAATCCAGGACTAAGTAGAACCCCTTGCTTACTTACTGTGCTCTGCTGCCTCCATTGTTGTACACATTGTAGCAGACACTGTCTCGTTCATTTTCTAGTGTGATGCTCATCTCAGCTAGTAAGAAACAGTCTCAAATAGATGAAGTTACTTATCCAAGGGCATATGATATCTGAACCATTTATCCTATTTTGTGGTTCTCTTCCATGTTTCAGCCAAGGTCTTTAACAGCAGAGTGATTTGTCCAGCGGGGTCCCTTTTCCCACTCCCCAGCACCCACATAAGCAGGAATCATGTGCTGGAAATGAAACCAGGTGGCAGAAGCAGCTGCACAAGCAAGAGAAGCCTGCTCGGTTCCACAATACCCAGATGACAGGAGTGAGAGCCTTCAGTTACAATTCGGGGACCATCAGTGAGAAGTGGGATGACACTGAACCTGAAATAAAAGGTTGTTGAAATAAGACTGGCCTTCCAAGGGAGAGCGTTTCCTTACCGTCTGCCCTCTCACCCAGAGCACATGTGGCAGTTTTGTTACTTGAGTAACTTCAAACCAGTGATCAAAGCCATGAAGAAATTTCTGAAGGAAAGTGTGATTGCTTGTAGTTTCTTGTGCCCACTATTGGTTTCCTTTTTAGAATTTTTTAACATCATCACTATATCTATATATATATACTTATAGCATAATACACTGAGACAAGTAGAATTAAAGAGAGTTACATGACCTATTTCATAGAATTTTTGTGAGGATTGAATTTACAGATTCCACACTCTCACACACACACAATATAGCAGAGTGCCAAACACAGTAGGCATTCAGTATGGGAGCTAATTACCATTAAATCATTACATTGTTGACTTTTGTGTTCTCGCATGATAAAGGTTTGGGAGCCTTCTCTAAATTAGGACAGTTGGTCCCTCAACCCAGGAAAACACTCTAGAGACTGCCTGACTAGTGCCTAAGCTAGAGACTAGATCTCCCTTAGTGACCCTTTCTTGCACTGGCAGGAGACTGACTCCTTATTGCCATGGTATGTGTCACACTCTGTCTTTCTTTTTCAGGTGGTTAGCTCTACCAACGGAGAGCTGAACGTTGATGACCCCACAGGAGCCCACTCCAATGCTCCAATCACAGCTCACGCCGAGGTGGAGGTAGTGGAGGAAGCTAAGTACGTTCCTTTCTCAAGGGGGCTCTTGAGTCATAGGTTGAAATCTTTTCTCTGTCTCCTCTTCTCTGTGTGCTGCTCATTTCAGACTGGTCTCCTCATGCTTGTATCCACAGCTTTCTTCTTTGGACCATTTTGTTTTTGCATGGTACCTTAAGGCTGCTGCTGCCCTTCTTTAGCTGTGATTTCTGGGAAGACAATCACATTTTTCCAGTCCACATGGGGCAAAGGACATAGTGAATCAAAAGACTCATGACCTGAGAACTACACTAGATAGTAACCATGGGCCTCTTGGGGCCCTGGAACTTCTTGTTCCATATGGAAGACAGAGAAAAGTCTGCTTCTGGACCATGCTGAGCAGCATTCAATTTCTGGCTCTTAGCTAACAACTCGGTGTGGTATAGTCCTGGAGCAAGGGTTTCAGAACTGTTCTGTTCTCCCTTAAACGATTTTGAGTTCAGAAAGACTCACAAAAGTCAAGAAAGAAAAATACTCCTGCACCTGTGAGTGAGAGTCTTGGAAAGGAAAGGAAATCACTAACCAGAGGGTAAGGAGGTTGCCCCACTCCCTTTTCTGCTTCTCTTGCATGTGTATGTCTTGCCTTGCCTGTCTCTTGCTGCTCTCTGCATGGTCTGTGTTTAAACTCTTAGAATCTGGGTGGAAGGTGAAATAACTGCCCATTCTGCTACAAAGTCAGCAGTTCCTATCACTTCTTTCTCTTTTTTGTCCCATTCCAAATTTAGATCCAGATTTAACCCCAAGAAGACATGAGGTAGTGAGAGAAAGGGGCTCTTGACGAATCAGCAGGTGCTGCCACGCCTGATGTGGACCACCTCTTGTATAACCCTCTGAGAACATTCAGGCTATGCAAGTATCTTATTCTCTGAAGCACACAACATATTGATAGAGATATTGTGCCCAGGTTGTCTCTTGGGTCCCCAAATAGCCTAACTAAAAGACATAACATTCTTAGACGTATAGGCATAAGGCAGTGAGAGGCCAGTGAACCCGACCTGCATTCTTCTTCCTTCCAGAGATATATACTTTGCATGGTCGTCCATGCTACCCCCATTCCTCTGCTTTCTTGCCCATCCTTATGATGAGCTCGCTTTGCTTGCAAGAGGTCCTTTTCCTTGGAAAACCAGGACTTGAGGATTCTACCCAGTAGAAAAACTGAGGATGTCCAAAGACTCTCTCCTGTTGAGTCCCTCTTGCCTATAGGCAGCTTCAAATGTTCTTTTCCCATAAGGAGGGCAGGGGGAGTTTTTAATGCCAGGAGGAAACCGTTTTTAGTAGACAAACATGCTCTTCATTTGCAGGAACTTTGGAAATTTTAATGATACTCATAGTTTTTCAGTTTCCATAACAAAACTTCATTCTTCCAAATAAGCTACCTCTGGGTTCTCAACCTTGGCTGCACTTTGGAGTCACCTGGGCATGTTAGAAAATACAAATACCTGAACCCAGGTCCTAGAGTGTTTCATTTAATTTGTCTGGAATGTGCCCTGAAGAACTGTAAAAGCTCAGGTGATTCAAATATAGCCGGTTGCAAATACCTACACTAGGTGTATCTGATCTAGTGTCTGGGCTTGAAAGATGGCCATCCCCATCCTCACCCCCACTTCACTCACACATCACCTTTCTGACTATTGCTTTGAAGGCTCTGTATTAATAGCATACTTTGAATACCACGAGTGAATAGGCTTTTAGCCTTATAATATGCACTATACAGGTTTATCTTTGGAACCCATTCATCTCATTTCATTTGGTAAGTGTGTACACTAATTTTGTATGTGGTATGGTGTTTGTGTCCTGTGTGTAAGATGGGGGCCATTCACACAAAGAGATTCCAATCTGGTGTTTTCTGTTCTGTTATCATCTAAATCCTAGGATATAAAAAGTTTATGGAGTTGGCAAAAAGAACCACTATGTTTCTTTGCTGCTACCTCCTTAAAGGTGGCAGCAAAGGTGTGGAAACCAGAGGGGAGCAATTGTGTTTGATTGAATGTCATCCAAAAAGCTCATAGTTCAGAGTGTTTGTCTGTTGGTTTCCCTAGTGACTTCTTGAGCTACCAATCCAACTTGTTAAGAGATGTTAAGGCATAGCCACGTCTCTTCCTTCTTGGTCTTCTGTGTATACGGAGGGGAAGAGAGAGCTGGATAGTAGCCAGGTGCTTGGTCATTTTCAGGGGGAGAAGTCACAGCTGGAAAATACGAAGTGCCCCAACCAACCCTCATTGAATGCAGCAGTGATGCCTTTTGCCCTTTCTTTGTGCGACAAAAGGGTGCTGTCACTTATGTTAAGATTCAGCTCTTGGGTACTGAGGAGACTGTGTGATACCTTCACTTGTAAGATTCTGTTTTGGGGTTTCTCACCCAGCTTGTTTTGTCTGAAGGAAGATTGAAATAACAGAGTGTTGGTTTTTGCTTTATATACCAAATGAACATCAACCATCTCTTTTTCTCTAGCTATAGAACTCAAGTCTTATTTAAGTGTGATTGGAAAGGTGGTGAGCCAAGGCAGCTTTATGGTTGACTTTTGTTAGGGTTAAGAACACAGGAATTTTGTGGTAGCTCTGACTTTAGTTATAACCTAGCAATTGTGGACCTCATTTCCCTTAACAATTAACAGGAGTGAGATTTAAGCCCTTCTGTGGACTTACTGAAGGTCTGATACCTTCTCTCTCCCTCAGAATAGTTGGGAGATTAACATCATACAGTAAGACTTCTTGTGGGAACCAAAATGACACGGCCTCGGTATTTGATTGAATTCTTACATGCAGGATCATATGTTCTTTCTTCTTCTTGGAAGTTGCCCAGGAAAGCCCACCCTGGAACTCCCCACTCTTTTCTGTTTTGCCTTACCCCTTGAGAAGGCAATTCCAGTTCCCACTTTGATACTTCTATCAGGCTCCTGTCCCCTCCACTTCAGTGTGGGGATCAAATGGCTTGGGCCTACTCACCCTACCTCGACAGAGGAAGAAAGTAAACACAGACACATACTGCATGTTTGCATGGCTCACAGGGAGTCGCTTCCCTCTCACCTCTGTGGACTAATATCTCTCTTTCTCTTCCTTTCTGTGTTTTTCTCTTTATATACTCTGTAGCTGCCTGAAAATGCTCAACCTGTGGTGAGTCCCTCTCTCCAGTCCACATGCTAGGGGAGCGGACCAGACTAGGCTGGGATTGGCCAAGCCAAACAAAATGCCTTAGGAACACTGAATGGCTTCCCTATGCCACCTTGTGCCATAACTACCCAGACTGGGGAACTAAATCTACAAGGTGGGGATGGGTAGGCCTATACCCAGGAATCAATCTCTTCCATCTTTCCTTTTAAACCTACCCAATTGCTGCCTCCTTCTGTCAAAACAGTGTCCCATGGTATCCAAAATTATTTATTGTTAGCTGAGCGAATTTTCTCCCAAATTAGTACAACCAGATATTATTATCAGACAGAAAGGGACAGAGGTAGGAGGATGAGGTTACTCTATCAGTTGTTTAGGTTATTTCTCAACCTGAAAGATAAGTGTTGCCAGAACATCTCATATTCTGCAGCTTGGTCTCTGACCTGGAAATTGGCTGCTTTGGAAAAATCTTGTCTGATTCACCTGGTTCTTCCATCTATAAAACAGGAATCTCTTGAAGAAAGAGAACTCCTTTTGGGGGGAGAGATGGACATTTTGTTGTTGTTTGAGTTTTTTGTCTGTTTTTTCTTTCTTTTTCTTTCCTATAAGAGAATATAGTGGGTCAAAGGCTAATTTGTCTATGAGATATGGAGCCTCTCCTTCCCACTCCTGGGAAAGACTTCTTGAAAGCCTTCTTAGAAACTCTATGGGGTGTATGGGAGGAGATGCCCTGAAAAATTAATGTTTGGTGAGTCACATTCTTGCTGCAGGACAGCGCCCCTTTCCCAGCCCTCTTCCTGGACACTGTCTGTGACCTTCCAGGTGTTCCTGAGCTAGTCGGTCTGTTCCAATCTGAAACTGTTAACTCTCCCTCTTTGTCTGAATGCATAAGGTCATATTCTCTGTACTGATGACAGCCTTCTGGACTCTGTAACTACCTTGTTTCTGCTTGTCATTGGTGACTGGGTTGGCCACCAGTTTCTGAACCCCAACTGTCTAGGCCTAGTTGCTTGTGGGATTTCTCTGGAATAGGGCTATATTGAAATTAACAACTAGGTTGTATGGAGATAGTTTATAGTCTCTGACTTCAAAGCACATTTGGCCCATTTATTTAGCAAATATGTGTCTGCATAATCTGACATTACTATGGTCTGTCTTTTCTTGTGAGATGTCAGTTCACATGATCCTTACTGCAAATACCAGGCCTACTGTGTGCTCATCCAACTCTGTGCTTGGAACTCTATGGGTCCCAAAGCCTGGCCCAGAGAGTTTAGGTATGAGCTGGCTGGAAAGATAAGATACACGTATTTGAATAAAACATGTAGTTCTCCAAGACATTTACATTATTGTCCCTTGAGATCACTGTGAACAGGGATGGTCAGGGAGGTCTTCATGAATACCATGGAACCTGAACCAAGTATTACAACAGGGGAGAATACAAATACAGCAAAGAAGAGCAGAATAGCAAAGGAATAGCAAAAGGGGACAACCCAGGACATAGTGAGAGAACGGTATGACAAAGGTAATGGCTCAGAGGCCTGGGGGAAGAGCACTTGCTGACTTGTAAAGAGGAGAACTACATCAATTACACATCACAAATTTATGATCATCCAGTCAAAGCATCAACTAAAAGGAAACCTAAGACATGAAGAGGGTTCATCACTTTCCTTCATTCTCTTCTGAGAGGAAAATAACTATTATATAGTCTGTCAGTGGACTTGGTCCAGATTCTAATCCAAATTAACATTTCCTGTTGCTTTAGTCACCAAGGAAACCCAAGGGTTGAAGAGCAGATTGGGTAGAATTATTAAAAGCTTCTGCTATTGTTTGAAGCTTTAGCTATAGTTATTAGCAAAAATTAATCTGGGTCTATAAACCTTAGCAGACTCCTCCAGTTAGATGAATTAAGCATTGCACATGAGGTTATGATATGCATGTAAGCAGATACTGATTCTTATCTGGAGTTGATAAAAAATTGTATAATTTATAATGGGCCAAAAAGTATTTCACATTATTTTATGACTGCTCTTACTTAAAAACACAAAAACCTCCTCCAAAAGTAATAAAAAGAGAAATTTACTTAAATGCTAGTAGATCCCTCTGAGATGATCATGCTTAACAGGAAGCAGGGAACTCTATTAATAAATACTGGCGCTTCTGTGAAATTTAATTGTCTCATTTAATACTAATACTGTTTTAAACAATCAAAAGCATTAGTCATTTTTATTTAAAAGAATTTATTCAGTCTCCAAATACACTAGTATTTCCTTTATTTCAGTGCTTAATTTATAGATAAGATGAACATTGTGTTGCTGTTGTGTAGATGTCTATTTCTGCATTCTAGGAAACTTTCTCTGAAATTTTAATAATTCGTCCATCGGGTGTATGAGTACCAAAAGTTCTGACTTAAAAAAGGAGGGAATCTTAGTTATACTGGAGAATTTAGGGGTGAAGGAATTAGGCAACAGTTCTCTATTCCCGTATGAATCCTATATGAATATTCCTGGCATTAAACCCAGAAGAATCAGACAAGAGACCCAAAGATAGTTTTCTCAGAAAAGCTTTTTTGTTCAAAGGTCCAGCAATTCTGCATTATATTTCCAACTTTATTCCTTTTCATCTCCTGGCATCTTTGATTCACCCACCTTCTACCCCTCACATTCTCATTTCTCATATGTCAGCTTCCTGAAAAGGACATATCTTTTGCACTAGCCATGCACTAGCCCTCATCACCACCTTCTGGAGTAGTTGCAGCCTAAGCAAAAGATGCTTCCTGTTCAAAAAGAGTAAGGAGGGGACACTCTGGCTTAGGGATGTGCCAGAACTGTGACTGTTGCCCAGGAGTTAGCAGTTGCACGACCGATGAGGAGAGCAGGTGCAAAACCTCCACCCTAAGGCAAGGCAGTCCTTTAACCTAACCTGCACAGCAGCAGTAGTCTCAGGAAGATAAATTGAGAAGGATCCTGCAACTGATACTCAGCTCCTGGGCTGTGGCATCAACTCTCTCTGAAGGAAGAACGGGCTGTGCTTGATTTCAGTCAGGAGATTTGGACTTGGTTTGTCACTATTCATGAGTCAGGGCTTTTGTCTACTCGAGGTAGCTCAGTGGGGGTGGGGCTGGGACCTGGAGAGTTCTTAATCCTTCATTGATAACATCATGAAATTCTAGAGTTCAGTCATACTTTCCATGGGATTTGTGTGCCTTTAGTAAACTCCATCCCCACTGGCTGTAGAACTTGCCAGTGAACCTAAGTAATTTTTTCCTCTGTATCAAGGAGCAGGCTATTCTTATGTAGCCCAGAGTACCTCCAGGCTAGGTATTAGATAGAGATGAAGCATCTGGGTAAGGTATTAGACTAGGAAGTAATAAGCCCTTTTTGTCCTTCTCAAAAGCCTGTTTTGACCCTTATGAGCCTACTACATTTGATAGGTTTGGTGGCTGCAGAGTGAAATGAAGCAGCTATTTCCTTTGGCTTTCCTGGAGAGAATTGCCCACTGCTTCCAAAATGTGCATTTGTTAATGGCCAGCAACCCTGTGGGTGGGTGCCGCTGGGGGAGAATTCCATCCCCTGCCATAAGCAGAAGCAGGCAGAAATCTTTCGGAAGCTGCCAACCTCCTGCACTGACTTGCAATGTTTCTTGTGCTCCAGGTGCTGCTGTTTCTTCAAGAGGAAAAGGAAGAAGACTGTTCAGCGTCACAAGTGACCAGTGCCTCCCAGGAGTCCTCAGGACCTGGGGACTCTGACTCAATTGCACCCGCAGCTCCTGCCATTTGTCATTGGAAGGGACTCCTCTGTGGGGGAGGGTGGAGATCCAAACCAAAAAGAAGAAAACAGATGCCCCCAGAAGGAGCCAGTGCGGGCAACCTAGGCCCAGTGGGTCAGTGGCTGTCCCCACCTGCCTGAGGCTCTGAGCAGGTCCCAGAGCTGCTGCTCCTAGCTTGCCCGTGGGGCTGCCTGGTTGACTCTCCTTCCTATTGTTTACAGTGAAGGTGTCATTCACAAAAACTCAAGGAGACTACTCTTCTCTTCCCTCCCCTCAGTTTACCCCTAGTTCTTGCCCTCAGTCCCCTCCAGCGTTAAAGCTTGTGAGTTCAAGTCTTTGTCTGCTGAAGGAGCTCTAGAGGCTGGGAGTGTGGCCAAGAAGGTAGGAGGAAGATGGCAGAAGGGGACTGGAGAAGAGCCTTCTCTACCTACCAGTTGTTACTGACAGTATGGCTCCCTCTTCCTCTGTGCCTGTGCAGCCTCCATCCCCAGCTGGCCGAGGGGTGCAGGTTACCCTTCCTCTCCCCTTATCCTGTGAAGTTACACTGTAGGACACAAGCTGTGAGAAATCTGCAGTCTACTGTCCCTATGTGTTGGCATTCTTAGCTTTCTTGACAAATGAACTCTGTTCTCCAGATGGTAGTAGGACAATGCAAATTGTTCTGAGCAAAGGAAAAAAAAAAAACTGACTTTATTGCACTTTTAGTTGTTTTTTTTTTTTTTTTAACAAAAACATGGCAGATGCATATTGTGTCTGGTTATATTGGGAGTTTCACTTTTTTTTTCTGTTTTGAGTGGGATGGGGCCAGCCAAGCCATTCACAGAGAACATGGGTCCAGAGGACATTCTCAATGGAAAGAGTTGGGTCTGCAGCACCCAGAAGAGAAGAAGCCAAACTCTCTGTCATTCTGGGTGGAACACTCAGGTTGGCAAGGAAACATACTTGAATTTTCATTCATCTTCTCAGCTGCTGAAGAATGTCCCTATTGGAGCCTCTTGACCTCATCAGCCTGCTGTTTGGACAGCTTAGCTCTCTGGCACACAGGATGAGCCCGCCACGCCAGACTGTGATCAGGAGATAGTTTATCCCAGAGAAGGAGATGCTTAACAGAATATCTGATCTGTTTCCTCCACTGCCAGGGATTTCCAACTAGATAGCCATCTGACTTCCTTAGTGACTTGGGGAACCAAATTAGGATGAAATAGCCCCACCATATGACCACTAGTGGACAGAGAAAGGAGGAAAATGAACCTGCCTTCCAATTGCCAGAGGAACCTCGGATTTGGCATCCTAGGGCCAGGAAAAGAAAATTGGTGTGTACTGTCTGCCCCAATAGCTGAGTTACAGCATTTGGGCTGGTCTGCCTTATCACAAACTGGGCCCCTGCAAATGCTCTCCCAGTAGGTCAATAGCAGTAGACTTAGGACTCAATACATGGGACTGCAGTGAACAAGAGTGTAAGGTCTGTTGGTGCTGGGAAATTGTAGGGAAAAGGAAACTGAAATGAAAGGTCTTCAGTTTTCTTCCTGGAAGGTGGCCATGTATCTAGAGCATGTTCTCCCCACTGAAGTGTCCACCTCCTTCCATGGTATGCTCGCCTAACATACTAGCACAGAGGGTCTTGGTTCTTCCTCACTGCCTGAAAACTCAAAAACAGAGAGAGCCAATCTTCTCATGCTCAGTTTTCATTTGAGTTCCGTGGCTTGTCTAAACAGTGACCTTTCATTCCAGGTATCAGAGAGGAAAGAGGATTATTTACATCAGGGAACAAGCTCTTGTTTCTTGGAGTAGAAAGAGCTAACTACCCAAGGAAGATAATGGCCAGCGACTTAGTCTGATGAGTTTTAGAGCACAGAAAGCACTGCCTCTGGCTTGAGTGTAGGGCTGTCACTTAGACTAGAGGATGTAGGGGTTCTTTCTGTTGTGTTTCCTGACAAGTCCCTGATGTACCTTAGGTGGAACAGAAATAGCATTAGCATGAATGAGTTATTGCACTTCACCTGTTCCATTAGGCTTTGGCTAGGAAATGTCATTTTACTGGCTTCAAACCTGCTTAGCTTATGGAAAGATAGTAGTTTTTCATTTCTTTAAAAAGAAATTTTCTGCATACAAATCAGTGTGGCTGGGAGACTCGGTGTCATACCCGTTATCCATACAGGTTTTGAATATTGGGGTTTGCTTCCTTGACATTACCTAGTAATGAAGGCACCATCACCAAAACTTTCACAGTTTCTCAGTTGGCATTTGGACAACTCTAACTTCCCATATAGAAATTTTAATTTCCTCATCCCTGTATAGCAAAAGCCTTGCCTCTCAAGGGAGGGCAAGGGGAAATGGTGGCAAAGTCTGGAGCATCCTGAAACTCCATATGCCACTAAGTGCCTCCCCACCCTCCTCCTCGTGCTTCCACAAAAAGCAAAGGCAGTGGCCAGCTTGGCTGCAGGGCAAACCCCCCTTGCAACTAGGCTTGTGACGTTTTTTGGTCTTAAATATTCTTAAAGGCTAGCTCTTGAGGGATTGAACCTGAGCATTTGAGGAGGTTCTTCCTAATGCACTGTTCTCACATTCTGTCCCCCTCAAATCTTTTACTAAATATTTGATTTTTATAACAAAGGTGAAGAGCCCCAGGACCTTCTGGCATGGAGGGTAGTAGTGGTGATCCTCCCAGGACCTTTGTAACTCCAGAATGGTCCCAGGTGCCTGAGAAATTATGTTGACTTTCCTTGAAATTAATAATACATAAACACACACCTAAGAAGCAATGTGGCCATCAGTTCCATCCCCATCAGGTCATTAGCCCCATGGCTATAGTTGCTTAACTATAAACCTCAGCCAGATTTTTGGGGTTGGGCACTTCACCCACCCACCCAAATCCACTAGCTCTATAGTTTTGAGCTTTCTCCATTTCAGAGCTATGATTCCTAGGGATCTTTTTCCGGAGGAGATGGAGGGAGCTGTTTGAAGCAATTCTTTCTGAGTTAGCATTAAGCACTAGCTCAGCATTTGTTCGTTGAAAAAAGCCCTTCATGTTCATACCATTAAAAAGACTTCTTCCAAGCCCTGTAATCCCTCAGGCATTACATCCTGAGCAGATTGAGACAAGCAGTACAGGAATCCACTAAGGTATAAAGGGTCCTTTTCCTTGTCACCAAAACATGACTTGCGGCTGTAGCCTAAGCACCTAAGGTTGATGGCCTGCTATACACACTTTCCCAGTGACTTCACTCCAAACGGTTCTGCAAGGGTGGGCAGAGCACACCAGCAGCCAGTGTGCTTTCATGGCTACCTGAATTAACATTCTCCTGCCATTTTGGATCTATCTGGGAGTAAACAAGGTCTAGGGAGGTGAGGCAAGTCAGCCAAAGGAAGTGTCTTGTCCGTAAGTTGCAACAGTTCAGTGGAAACATACACTGGTAGTGCATATTCAGTGTTGATTCTCAGAGTTAGTAACCACTTTTAGTGTCAGAAATACTCAGTGATGGTATGTTCTATCAGTTCTATCTATCTTCTTACTAAAGATCATAGCCTTAACTTTTTTATATGCAAAAGATATAACCTATTCCCCCTCCCAGTGAGCAAGCATGACCCGTATTTTTCAAAAATCAGTACTTCCATGGCAGTCCAGAAAGCATCTCTTCAAAGGAACTTGATCTTCTGATGTTCTCTCCCACGCCCTCAGGCCTCCTGTTTCCTAGTCAGCTCTTCCATTTTCATATTATTTAAACCAGTTTCCCATTCCTAAGAAGTTGCCCTGACAGTGTCCTTTCCAGCGTCAGAGCCATGTTAGGGCTAGAGTTTTTCAGATCAGAAGCTTGTAGCACCATGCAGCCAGCATTGCCTTGGCCAGGCTGGGGCCACCATCCCCACCATTGCCACGAGCTGCGCAGATGAATTCCAAAAACCCTTCGGGAGCCAGGGCTAGACTCCCCACCCAAACTGGCTATGTGAACACAGGTTCCTTTCTCGGAGGTTCTTGATTTTGTTAACTCTAGGACTCCAGGAAAGTCCCATCTAGAGGTTGATGGCAGTCCCTCAGTCTTTCCTGTGATGGGTTGGTGGGAATCAAAATGGGATATGGTTTTGTTTTTCTTGCATTTGGGGAGGGGATGATTTTGCTTCTGAATTTAAAAAAAAAAAAGGCAGAAAGCATGGCCCTCCTGAGGGTTTGCAGTTATAAGCAGTGTTTTAGCCATAAATAAGGGATCTTGGAAGTCTTTTCCTAACTGCTTTACAGGTGACTGAAAGCAAAAGAATAGGTTTCTCCATTGTATTCAAAATAGTAAGTAGATTGCCATGAATATAGACAGTAGTAGACATATTCCCTAAAAAGCAACCAGGAAATCCACTCCAGTATTTGTGTGTCAGCTTACAAAGGAAAAAGTGAAGATGTGCTCGATTTATTTCTAGTTTGATTATCAAACTTGGTGTTACAAAGAAACCTCAATTCTGTGGACAGAATTTTTTTGTTATTTTCCCTTTTTTACTTTACTCCTCACAATCATCTTTCTGGTGCCATTTCCACTTTCAAAGTCTCAAGAGTAGAGGGTTATTCGTGGTAATCAACGGCGGTGTAGTGCAGCCATCCCAGTGACACAGAGGACAGCTGTCCTGACTGCCCGTTCCCCCCCAACCCTCTTTTTCAGAGCAGGTGAGACATTTTCAGTGTTCCTCTTCATGAGCTCAGACCAAATCCCAGGCCAGCCCTTGCATGGAAATATTTTTTAAGGAGCTTATCAATCTGTTAGGAATGTCTCAGGAAAGATGAGCCATTTCTTTAGGGGGAAAATACATGTACAGATGGGTGTGTGTGGTGGTATTAGGATGCCTGTGTGTGTTTGTGTACTCATCTGTGCGCATTTCACTCCCATAAAGACTCAGCCCAGGCTGCTGGGACCATGTGTTCCTGAATATTCTAGTAACAAGCAAGCTTCTCAAATTAGTGTCAGAGCAAGTTGGCTTTGGGTATGAGCCCCATTATCAAGCAGAAGAGTAAACAGAAAAGATAGAGATGAAACCAAAAATATTATAAACCTCCCCCAATGGAAAATAATGTTGACGTATGAATTCCCATTGGAAATATTACAGTGCTCTAATTTATTATATTATTATTTTGTCTGTTTCTTTAATCTTTTCCATTGTACCTTTAAAAAGATGCTGGGATATTGATTGCAATTTTTGGAAACTAGATGATGTATAAATCAGCTGTGGAAATCAATTTTAATTGATGTGTGGATGTGTCCGATTATTGTTAAATGCATTTTTTTCGCCCTTTGTTTTAGATGTGTAATGTTTCATAAACCCTGGCACTGGTGGAAAAGCTCAGCTGTGAAAATGAAACTTGTAGTATTTTTTAACATGAATGTCAATTTCAAGTGTATTTGAAATGGTTCCTTCAGGAGAGATTGTACACTGTTAGGAAAAACTCCTCTGCAGAGGAAGTAGCCTTCTTTGGAGAAAATGGAAAATGGGTCTTGATATGTTATCTCAGAGTAGCCCATTTCCTAGGGCACCATGGAAAACACAAATGTGATCTTTAAGTATAATTCTTCCCCAATTTGGGGGAGGAAAGGATTCAGTTTGCACCCCTTTTGTATGTAAAATAAAATGTCTTACCTTTGTTGGCTAATGCTGCTTCGTTCCTTCGTTCGTTGGTTGGTCTAGTTTTACTCTCCCCTGACTAACTTTTTTTTTTTTTTAATAGAGGCATGTTTTATTTATTTATTTTTTTATTTTGTTTATACATGCACTGGGTACAGTCAGAAGCGTGGGAGGGTGAGAGAATTCACCAGAGCCAGAGCGGGGAGCAGAGCAGGCAGACTGACGAAGTACACTGCTGAGGGGAGCAGCGGGCGGCAGGAGAGGTCTGCGTGCCATGTGGGACCCTCCTCCGGTGGCCGGGGATAAGCCAGGGATGGAACTGGCGCCGCAGAGGCCGCGGGCAGCTTCGCAACCCAGCGCTCAAGCGCTGCGCCACCGGGGAGGCCCAACTAGGACTAAATTTTAATTTAAGGCTCCAGTGAATGAAAATAACACCTGATCCTTTAGCATTCTGACTTAGTCCTTTGAGTTGAACATTGCTGTCTCCTATGGGTCACTTTAAAATAATTATTCCTGTCAGAATTTGGACATTCATCATTTACGTATTAGTTAGGTGGTAAAACATTAGGAAGACAGCATCTGCTTTATGGAGCAGCTTTGGAATAGTAGCACTATACTTCTGGACTAGTCAATACCTGTACAGACTGATGCTATAACAGGGTGTGCAATGTAAAACCATAGTATATGGCCACAAAAGAACTACCAATCTGGGTATCATTGGATGTTTTAGATTTTTCTGTTACTACTGAACTACATAGTCCTCAATGTTGTCAGCAGGGTCTCAGAAATTGAAATTGAAGCAAAGTAACAACCAATTTTACCAGTAGGCTAATTGGTGAAATGAGTTAAGTTTGCACAGCATTATTTGTGGTCACAAAAACATCACCAAACTTCTAAATAAAGGCCCAAATCACTTCCAGTATTAAACAATCATTTGTACTTGTTCATTCACTAATTTCCCAACCTACATATTCCTGTTCAAGGTGGTGGGTGTCTGGAGCCCACTCTGGCAGGTACAAGGTGGGAACTGACCCTGGACAGGGTGCCCTTCCATCACAGGGCACATTCATTCACACTCACTCGGACTGGGACAGTGGGGACCCACCCGTGAATCTAACCTGCACATCTTTGGGGTGTAAGAAGAAATTTGAGTTTCAGAGAAAATTCAGAGCGACATGACAAGAATGCGCAAACCACACTGACATTGGCTGGGAATTCACTTTTTCTCATGAATGTTATAACAATAATATGAGCAAAAAGACATTATCGGAGGACTTGCATTACTTAATGATTTGTTTTTTCACAAAAGAAGCAGAAAACACATTTAAGATCATCATGAGGAAAATCTCACATTCAGAACATTTTATCCATCAAGCTTATTTTTTTCTCTCAATAGTGGATAGGTAGGGGAAAGGCTACTTTCATGCCATTTTTAGCACTCACTCGTGGAGGTCGGCACACATTTTTCTCTCACTGGATAGCAAGATGAGACCAGAGAGTGGAAAAAGCGTTGACCAAAAAAAACAAAACAAAACAAAAACATAAACAAAAAAAAAAAAGGGAGGCAGTTGTGGGCAGGGTTGTTTAGAAGATGATCTTTGTTAGTGTGACAGTTTTACCTGACTGAGGTGGTCTGGACCAAGGTGTGAGGATTACAAATAGTAAATATGATTTGTATTAATAAGAGAATTGTCTGTGGAAGCTCTTCAGCCTCCCTCGGTGACCTCAGTGTAAGTTGATGCCAGTGGCTATGCATAAGCTCACACTCAGGTCAGCATCTCATATAGAGACCAGAGTGCAGAGTTCATGCAAACAGTAACATGCCTACTTAGAATCTTGCTGTGCAGACCAGGAATTTTTATAACATCAATCTTTGAAAATCAGTTCTCTCTAGAACATTTAATAACAGCATAGATCCAAGTTCTAGAAAAGAGATGTGAGTGTGTAACTTTTATTTTTCTGGGTAAGACTCCCGCTATTGAAATATATATTGTAGACTGGAATACCACCAAGTGTGGGCGTGAAGATCTGAAATAACACTTGGGGATATCAGATGACTGACTCCACATTTCTGAGGGTTTCTAAGAAAGGGATACTCAGTCTCAGTCATTTGCTTGTATTTCCCACCTCAGTGCTAATGTGAAGATACACAACCAATATTCATGGAGCATTGAGCCCCACAGTGGGGTTGGGGGAGCTGTATACAAAATGAGTGCAATACAGTCCCTTGGAGACACACACACACACACACACACACACACACACACACACTGTAGTTACTTGGGGAAGTAGGTAATAAAGTATGTTAAGAATCAGAGGATACAATATACACTGACTCATACTGTAAGATCATACAAAGGAGTGAAAACTGGGTAATAAAATGACTGGGACTGGGCCTCCCCGGTGGCGCAGCGCGTTGAGAGCAGCGCTGTGAAGCTGTCTGCAGCCTTTGCAGCGCGGGTTCAATCCCTGGCTGGCCAGGGAGATAACCCACAAGGCCCGGCAGACCTCTCCTGTCTCATCTGCTGCTCCCCTCAGTGTATTTCAGTAGATCTGCCTGTTTTGCTCCCCACTCTGTCTCTGGTGAATCCTCTCATTCCCCACACCTCTGGCCTACACCGCAGTTCCTGCATGCATAAATAAATAAATCTTTTTTAAAAAGAAAAAAGTTTTTGAAGCAAGTTTTACAAGACTCATAAAAAAGCTGTATAAGGGTAACTATGAATACCCTGAGTTTTTGTAAGCTGCCACACTTAAACCCAATCTGGTAGCGACTAATGCTTGACTAGCCCAATACAGACGACGACAAATGTCCTTTGCCCCTATCGAGGGAGTTTCTAACTAAGTACCTACCTACCAAGACCCGCCAGACTTCCACTCGGGAACAGGGAAAGTGGAGCCCGGCCCAGCCGCGGTGCATGCTGGGGCTTGTAGTCTCCTCGGGAACCCAATCTCCGTGCTCTTTGAGGAGGCACCACCTTCCGCCGTCCCAGTGGGCGTGGCAAACTGGGGAGCCAATGAGGCCGCACTAACGTGGCAGCCACCCACGAGTCCGCGTCTCCGCCCGCCCGCCGGCCAGCCGGGCTCCGCCCCCCGGCGGCATCTACCACCCGACGCCGATCTAGAGGGGGGAAATGGGCCTCGCGTGCCACGAGGACGTGGGAAGAAGCCCCGGTCTCCCCTCCACGGCTGCTCTCAGTCGGCGCCGCTGTCCACGCCGCCGCGTCCCCACCCTCTTCCGGCTCTCGGCTTCCGGGCCGCTTTCCCTTCTGCCGTGGATGCTGCGCCTGTCGGAGAGGAACATGAAGGTGCTTTTCGTCGCCGCCGTCATCGTGGGCTCTGTCTTCTTCCTGTTGTTGCCAGGCCCCTCTGCGGCTGATGAGAAGAAGAAGGGCCCCAAAGTCACCGTCAAGGTCCGGCCGCCCCACCCCTCTCCCACTTGCCTGGCGAGGCCGGCCCTCCGGCGCCCCTGGGTGCTCGTGTTCCAGGCATTTAGGCTTCAAGAGCTCGGATCTGGGCGTCCTTGTCTTTGGCTCAGCCCCTCCCGAGGCTCCTAGCCGGGACCTCGGGGATGGCCGCCCCCATTCCGAGAACGACCCGAATCCTCCCCTGACTTCACAGCCCCTGTCTTGGGGGTCCAGCTGGGACCGGCACTGTCAGTTTCTGCAGCCTTTTTGCAAATGAACCGCTGTGCTGGGGAAAGGGCGAAAGATCAAGTCTACTTGCCAAATTTTAGGCACTTGCAGTTGCAAAGCACAGCAGTTAGTTTTAAATGTGCATGGTGAGGTTAGGCTCTCCTCCTTAATTTTTTTTTTTTTTGATCTTCATTTCTAGACTCTGGACCCGTTATTTAGAGCAAAAATTGCTATCCTGTAGTCCAAGGAGAGCGTAAACAAACACTTTCCAGGAAAAGGGTCTGGAACTTTAGATTCTCGTAGGGTTTTTTGTCACCCTCTTCAGAACCACTGCTCGAAAAATAGGGCTATTTTCTCTCCTAACCTTAGGATAGCTTTTTGGGCCCGACCCTTCTCTAGCAACACCACCACCCTTCCCACCCCCAAAGATGCTAAGTGTGAAATGATCTTTTTCCTCAGGTGTACTTTGACCTGCGCATCGGAGATGAAGATATAGGCCGGGTGGTCATCGGTCTCTTTGGAAAGACTGTTCCAAAAACAGTAGATAATTTTGTGGCCTTAGCTACAGGAGAGGTAAGTGGCCAAAGCAGAGTAGTCAACTCAGAAAGCAAAATGGTGAGCAGAGTTGGCTCATCCAGAGCTATCGCTGAGGACCAACTGCTGTCCTATGACACTGGGAATTCAAAATTAACGTAGAGATATTGTGCATTTTTAAGAAAATTTTTCATCTTTAAGACCTCGCAGCGACCAAAGAGAACATATCTGTGGAAACTAGTTTGTGCTCCTTGAAGCAGAGTTTATTCTTTTTTTTCTTCAAAGATTTAGGGTGTAGGCCAGAGGTGTCGGGGTGGGGGGCAGTGAGAGGATTCACCAGAGACAGAACAGGGAACAGAACAGGCGGATTGACTGAAACACACTACTGAGGGGAGCAGTGGGTAAGACAGAGGTCTGCTATGCTATGTGGGTCAGCTCCCTGGCTGGGGATTAAACTCATGCTGCAGTGGCTGGCGATAGCTTGAGACTTTAACTAACCCCTGCGCCACCAGGGGAGGCCAGGGTTTATTCTTAAGAGTCAGGTACTGAGAGCTTCCAGGTGCCCCATTTAAGAAAGTTGGTGTTCCATCTTCCCATTGAGTCATTGTGTGACCCTTTTTGGGGGATTGGGGGCATTTTTCTTGCATCTGTTCTTATAAATAAAAAATAAGGGAGATGCATAAAGGCAGAGAATGTGGAGTCTCAGCCTTTCCTGGATCTGTGTGATCCATGCCTGGCCTTTTCATAGCTGCTCACTCCATAGTAGCATACTGAATAATGACTGTGGCTGGCAGCGTTGTCTCTTGTGTGAGCAGTTTCTGTGAATGGGGTTCCTGCAGGGATTATTACTTGTCCATATGCTACCCCATGACACTTCCCCACCTTCTCATCCTTATTTTCTAGAAAGGATTTGGCTACAAAGACAGCAAATTCCATCGTGTGATCAAGGACTTCATGATCCAGGGTGGAGACTTCACCAGAGGAGATGGCACTGGAGGTAACCTCAGGTCCTCCGGGTAGAGGGTTCTGTCAGGGAGGGCTGGACTGTGCTGGTTAAACAAGGCCTCTTTCCCAGCAGCAGGCCTGTCACCAACATTGAGACCAACTACACCTTTCTTTGTACAGGGGACACAGGCTAAAGGAGAGGGAATAATTTGTGGGGGCAGGGGGCATAAGAGGATCTTGTCTAGCTGGACCTGCTGGTCCAGGTCTACAGCATTAGTGACTTCTCTCTACTCCTCCTGGGGATAGCAGACTGAAACCTGTGGGTAGCTTAGCAACATCTGGGTGGGCCACCTTCAAAGGGAGGGTGGGAGAAGTTGGTCCTCAGCAGTCTCCCACCATAGCCTCGGTAACAGCTAAGTCTTACCTCTGTTTCACTTGTACACATAGGACAGACAGACACACCCTGGACTCACCACAGTTCACCTCACAGTCAGGTGTGCAGCTTGCTGCCTCTTAGACAATGGCTGCAGCTCACCTAGCAATGAATATTCATTGGGCCAGGCTCTGGTGGTTGTTGAGGACACACAATAATTCCTTCACACTTCATTTTTTTTTTTTTAACTTTTTTTTTTTTTTACTTTTTTTTTTTAAGATTTATTTATTTATGCATACAATTGCTGGGGTACAGGCCAGAGGTGCAGGGGGTGAGAAGATACCAGAGACAGAGTGAGGAGCAGAACAGGCAGATCGACTGAAGTACACTGCTGAGGGGAGCAGCGGGCAAGTCAGGAGAGGTCTGCTGCACCATGTGGGTTGCTCCCTGGCCAGCCAGGGATCGAGCTCGTGCTGCAGAGGCTGTGGATTGCTTCATGGTTCGGTGCTTAACCCCTTGTGCCACCAGGGAGGCCCTCCTTCACACTTCTAAAACCTGAAAACTCACAAATGGGCCCCAAAACAGCTTTCAGGATTTAGGCTCAAGTGTATCATCTAGGTGGAAAGAACTGAGAGAAAATACTGAAAGCCACATGACATCACTAGAATTAAGAACTAAATAGCAGCAGCAGTGAAGCGAAACAGACAAATCACTGTATTCATGAGTCATGTTGGGTGGGATCCAGTGACTGCCACCTTTTCACTTCATTGACCTCGGGTGAGTCCTCTGGGCTTCGGTTTCCTCCCTGTGAAGTGGGTAAGAATTATGTGTGCTGTGCGGGCTAGGGGAGATCTTGAGTGTGAGGTGCTGGCACATGGTCAGTGCTCAGGGACTGTCAGCTGTGAACCTTGTGAATAGGGGGAGGGATCAAGATGGGTCCTGGCTGGGGAGGATGTGAATGGGGAATGAATAGGGTTAAGGTGTGAGCCCCGCTTTGGTCTTGGCCAAAGGTGGAGTCTGGGGAATGGACGCAGAGCACACATCAGGAGCCCAGAGTGGCAGCCCGCTTCCTCCAGGCAGTGAGGATCCAGCACAGACCTGAGAGAGGGTGACCTCTGGTTGCATGAGAGAAAATGAGAGCATGAGAGAAAATACTGTAGAGATAGGAGCAAGCAGATGCTGGGGGGATTAGTGTGGCTCTCCCTCAGGAGCACCATGCGAACCCCGGGAAAGGATGGCCTAGGGGGTAAACAGATTCGAGAGGCAGACCACTTTGGTTTGAATCCCAGCTCTGCACTTCCCAGCTGGGGTACTTTAACTTTTCTGTGCCTCAGTTTCTTCACCTTTGAAATAGGGTGGTTTTCCTGTGTGTAAAAATGCTTGTCACGTTTGTCTGGCTTGTGCTGTTAGCACCGTCAGTGTGAGCTATCACTGCAGTGGTTCAAAAATGGCATGTGCAGGAATGGTAAGAAAGAGGAGTGGGGGATGGGGGTGGGGACACGGACAGTGCAGAGGAAAATGTCAAAAGAATTAGCTGAAGCTTAGAGAAAAAGGTGATGTTGAGTTTCAAGTGAAGACCTGTCCATTTAAATTTGGAACTCCTTGCGATTTTTGGGAAATGGTTGGAGTGAAGGACATAGATTTCAGGGTTTTCTGGATAGCCACGATAATTAATATCATGCAGTTGGTTGAGAGTTACAAAGGGGATTCTCAAAAATAGAGGCTTCTAGATAGCAGGAGCCATTGCCTGCTGGTGGTCTAGTTTTCCTTCCAGGTGGGAGTGAAAGGGGGAGCACAGGCCAAGACAGCCCCACCCGCCAGAGTCTAGTAGTTCTTAGTCTTCAGTCTTTCCATTTACCACACAATCAAAAATACCTCTCTGATTCACATCAGTCCAGGATAATTTCCTAAACTGCCTTTATTCCCTGGAAGCCCAGGATGAAAATAAGTGTACTGAGGAGGAAAAGAGTTTCATATGCAGATAAGTTTGAAAAGTGATGGATAGAACAAAATGAAAATGACTTGCATCTGGGTCTCTTGGGCCTTTAGGTCACCGCTGGCACGTTGCACCTCTCCTGGAGGTTGCAGGAGAGAGGGGTGGGGTATTCCTCCTGGAACCAGCTTTGGGAACTGGTTAGGATGTCTGGTTTCTTTTGTCATATGGCCCGACCCCAGACCCCGCACAGACAGACACGGTACACATTTATAGTCACCTTTTATTTTCTGTTCATTCACTGATAAGGGGCTCTTGACTTTCTGGAACCTCTGTGAAGCCCCTCAGCCCCTTTTCTGCCTTTCCCTGCACTCTCCCACTCATCTCCCTGCTTTCTAGCTTCTCAGTGTCTTGTGGTCCTTGGAAGAAAAGATGTTCAACCACAGCAGCCCTCCTTTTCTGGAGCATTCTTATCCCCACCCCACACCTGCATCCTGCCCAGCACCTCTCTCCACCGAAATGTCTCCTTGACAGGCCTCTCAGACCCTAACAAGGGCACCATATGTTAAATGTGCTTTATTTAAAAGCCATAACACTATATTCTCAAAGTAACCTATCACATGAGTCGCTCACTAAATTATCCCGGACTTGTACCCACTGGGTCTGTCAGCATGGTTTGGCTCCAGAATCAGAGGATGGAAGAAGACAGCTTTTATGTCCTGGTAATCCACTTGAGCCTGGCCTGTCACAGAAAACAGGTTGAGGCTCTGGAATCCTTACCCCAAAGATCTGTTTGCTTTGAGTTGACCCAGCTCCCTCAACCTGTTGTCTCTCTTCCCAGGTAAGAGCATCTACGGTGAACGCTTCCCCGATGAGAACTTCAAGCTGAAACACTACGGGCCCGGCTGGGTGAGCATGGCCAATGCAGGCAAAGACACTAATGGCTCCCAGTTCTTTATCACAACAGTCAAGACCGCATGGCTCGATGGCAAACACGTTGTGTTCGGCAAAGTTCTAGAGGGCATGGTGAGTTCGGGAGACGAAGGCTACACCTGGCGACTCTCACCAGGGACTTGGCGCAGATACGGGGCAGGGGTTCCACCTATAGGTCATCACTTTCCCAAAAGAAAACCCGCAGATTCAGACCAGTGTTTGTGGCTTTAAACCTGGAGGAGGCCAAAACAAACAGCCTGCTTCTCTAGACCTGCCAAGTTCTAAATGCTTCCAGGAGACAAGCAGAGGCTGCACAGCTGCGGGTGTCCCTTCTGGTCACCCCCAACCCCATGCATCCCCCCACTCTCCAGCCACCCTCTCCCTCTTCCCCATTTTTGGCCCATCCTGGCTTGTACTTCTGAGGAGCAGAACTGCTGGCAGCCTCTAGTCAAAGCTGGGTTCTCCCTGTCCTGGGCTGACACCTGGCTTTGGATCCAGTAGAATCTTGGTGCCTTGGGTTTGTTTCGTCACTTGGGGGTATTGGCTCTCCCAGCTATACACTGGGGCCTGGCCCCTCACCCTCCTGCTTCTGCTTTTCCATCCCAGGAGGTAGTGCGGAAGGTGGAAGGCACTAAGACAGATGGTCGGGACAAGCCACTGAAGGATGTGACAATCGCAGACTGTGGCAAGATAGAAGTGGAGAAGCCCTTCGCCATCGCCAAGGAGTAGAGCCCCAGGGACTGCTTCCTTTTGAGCGACTGTCCTTGCGGCCCTGTTGCCCTTCTGGGAGCGATGACAGCCCGCCACAGGGCTCCGTGCTGCCTGGGCCCGAGTGCTGGCATCTGATGGAGTGGACCCCTCCCCTCACATTCCATGGACCACCGGCCCAGTTTTGTAACAAACTCCTACCAGTGCTGCCCAATAAAAAATAAAAGGTAGGGTTTTTTTAACCCGTGTGGGGGCTGGGTTCTTGGGGCTACAGCGCCTTTCCCAATTCTGTGTCCCAGCATATCTGGGACTCCAGTGGCCATGGGGGCCTACCCCTCCTTGGCCTCCAGCCTGAACCCTGGCCTCAGATGCTACACACAAAGGATCAAACAGGAGCTTTAGCTCCTTCTAAGTTTTACCTGTTACTGTGCCTCAGCCTTTATTTGCTCCTGCCCCCTTTCTCCTGGTTATGAAATACATTCACAGCCTGTCTAATTTGATGTCTCCTTTTACTCCTTATTCTCTGCTGTCCCTGCCCTGAGTGCAGGTCAGCCAACCCCAACACCTGCCCCTGCCTACTGGGTGCACCTGAGTTTGTACCTTGGGTGGGTAAATCTTGGGCCAAAGGGAACCAGGGCCATGTCCCTTACATTGGGCTCACAGGAATGAGGCATGTGACTGCTCTGGCAGGTGGCCCAAAGACCTTTGGGCTGGTCAAGGCATTGGTGGCAAAGCAGCAGCGTGACAGGGAGCCTCTTGCTGGACTTGAGCTGGACAGGTGCTAAAGCTGTAGAGGCCCTGTAGCACGCCGTTTACCACCATGTTGGGCAGAAGCTCTGTGGGATGGAAGGAAAAGAGAAGGGGTAGTGGGCCACAGGAGATGGGCCTGGCCTCTGACCTGCAGCTCTTTGAGGACCCATAGATAGGTTCAGCCCCCTTGGGACCAGGAGCCCCTGCCAAGGCAGCAGGTAACAACTGACCACCCCAAGTGAAGCCTTGGCATTCCTGGTTCACACTCTGTTCACATCTGCTTGGCAAAGCCAGGCTGCTGAGGAGTGGAGAGCAGGCTTATTTCACTACGTCTGTTCTCTAGGGGAAAACTCAAAGCAGGTTCTGGGGTGAGTAGCACAGGGGCAGCAGGGTGTGTGTGGCATGAGGGAAACAGGAGGTGCTGCCTGGGAGCTAAGAAGTGTTAAGTCTCCCCTCTCCTCACCTCCTGCGCCCTAAATAAGGATTCTAGGTCAGAGGAACTCTCTCACCTTGGGAGGGGGTGCAAATGTAGGGATCCATGCAGAAACTGATGACAGGCCTGTGTTGCAGGTGTGAGCTAGAAGGAAAAAGGGGATTGAACTTTAGAAGACAGGGCAGGGATCAAGATCACCACAGACCCAAAGAGGAGAGTGGGAAGTGGGCTGAGAAGCACCAACAGGAAAACCTGGGCCACAGGGACAGGCCAGAGGCTGCAGGCCTGGCACCTGGTATGTGGCCACCAGGGGGCAGCAGGAGCTGGGTGCTGGCTGAGCATTGACTTGCCTGCTGTGGCTAGGTAGGAACTCCCCCAGGGAGCTGAAAAGAAGAGAGCCGCTGTGAGTGCCTGGGGAGGCTGGGGGAACAGAGAGTGAGGAAGGGGTGGAGACAAAGAGGCCCAGAATTTCACCTCCCAGGAGACCATTGATTCTATTTCTAACAAGCTCAGTTCCGGAGGCAGCTGGGGTAACCGCGCTCTCCAGAAAACAGCCCCTCACCCAGGTCAAGAAAACTGACAAAGGAGATTATGTCTCAAAGAGTCAGGTTAGGGTCTGGCAGAGGTGAGACCCTGTCCTCCCCAACACCAGCCCCTCTTGTGCCAAGTCACGGTCCCTGGGGGTGCTCACCCCCAGCTGCTGGCCTTGGGGTCTGTGGGGAAGTGGCGAAGACTCAAGAATTCCAGCAGCTCCTTGGGCACATCTTGGTTCATGTGTAGGACACCCTGGAAAGGAAGACAGGAAACCTGTGTTCAGACCTAGCTATGGCGATACACATCACACAGTGCAAAGTGAAAATGTGGGGCCCTTCCAAAACGACTAAGAACTGCACAACAGCAAAAGCAGAGCATTAAAGCAAGGTGGGGGCACTTCTGAACACTGCCCTGGGTGACTAAGTGGGTGGAACCCCCAAGAAGCCAGCCAGGCCTGCAATCAGCCTCACTGTGGGGGGATGGGGGCAAGGGTCCTCACCCTACATCTCCATGAGGCGGCAGCACAGGATCTCACGCTGGAGGGGGAGAAAACTAGCTTTAATTGAACAGGGAACACCTGCCTTCTGGTTCCCTCATTCCATCCTACAATCCAGAGAGGGATGTTTGGACCCATCCCTCTGCAGAAAATTGGTGCCTGGGTGGGAAATAACATGCTCAAAATGTAGGTCCCTCCCAGGTTCCCGTAACTCTCTGGGTCACACCTCTAGGTCAACAGTTTGGGGGCCACCCAGCTGACCCATGCTCACCTGGATATAAGCCTCCAAGCCCTGCCTCCTCTGTTCCAATCCTCTGGTCCTCCAGTTGGGCAGGCGTTTCGATGGGAAGTCGGGCACTTTGTACAGTTTCTTGATCTGCCAGCAGGTTACCGCGGTGCCATCACAGCATAGCAACTGGGCCCCAAAGCTCACTTCATCCTAACCAAGCGCTCTCCCCAATTCCACCCAGTCTCTTCCCCCGCCCCACCCCACCCCAAGGTTCTGCTCTGGGAAGCCTGGGATGATGGATGGTTAGGACAGGAGCCAGAGAGGTCCCAACACCCCCAGTCGCCTGAGCGTGGACCCGTCACTCTGGCACATGGATAATGGGGCTAGGACTTGCGCCCTCCCCGCAGGGCGCCCGGGGGTCCGTTCCCAGGACCAGAGCCCCCCAGGGACTGGGGTGATGATGGGGATGGCCAGGCTGGGAGCCCAGCTCATCTGCCTGCTTCCCAGAGGCCGGGCAGGAGCCGGGCGGGGTCGCTGGGTGGTCGGCGCCGCCTCACCCGCTTGTGCAGCGCGTGGAACTCGCTGTAGCGCCTCAGCACCGTGTGCCTGCGCCCGCGGCACAGCACCTCCACGCGGAACACCTGCGGGCGCGGGCAGCGGAGCGCGCGCGTGAGGACCTGCCCCGCGACGCACCCCCTCCCGCGCTCGAGGGCACAAAGCGGCCGGGAGCACCGCCGCCCTCCGGGGACCCTCCCGCGCTCCCCACACGCTGGCGCGGCCGGCGGACCCGCCCCTCTGCTCCGCTCTCCGCGCGGGACTAGCGAAGCCCGGCCGCCCGCGCCCCTCGGCCGCCTGTCCCCCCGCAGCCCGGCGCCCCAGCTGGGGCACCCGGTCCCCCTGGGCGCGGGGAAGTCTGGCGGGTCCCCGCGCCGCTCGCAACCCGGGCTCCGCTCACCATGCGGCCTTTCTCTGCGCTCTGCCCGGGCCCCTCGGCCTCGGGCCCCACGGACGGGATGTGAACTTCCAGCATCCGCATCCAGCGCTCGCCCCTCCGCGGGTCGCTGCTCCGCGGACTCAGCCGCGAGACCCCCGCGGCCCCGGCCCCGCCCCTCGGCCCCGCCCCCGACCCGCCGGCCCCGCCCCCGGGCGTTCCCGGCCCCGCCCCCGGGCGTTCCCGGCCCCGCGGGGCCTGGCGGGGTGCGATGAGGCTGCCGGGGTGGCCGGAGCCGGGCGCCGCCCCAGAGCCTCGGGAGGCCGCCGCGGGTGTGGGGCCCTAAGCCGGAGACGCACCCGTCTGTCCCATATTTACTGAGCACCCACTTAGGCCGGGAAGGCGGCGAGTCAAATGCTCCTCCGCTCCTTGTGGAGCGTCCACGGAGGACTGGGACCTGCGGGCTCCGGGCAGCGGCGGGGGCGGGCCCGGGTGTGGGCACGGCCCCCGGGCCAGTCGGTGACGTTCCTCACACCTTCCCCCCGGCCGAGGCGCTTCCACCCCCTTTCCATCGCGTTGAACCTGGACCCCGGGAGCGCGGGGTGATGCTTAAGCCAATCTGACTTTGATGGCCTCCTGCTCCGGCACCCACAGTTCTCTCCCTTCGTTCGGTTTTTTCATCCATCCTTTCAGCCCTCGCCAATTTCAGGTCCAGTTTGCTCGCAAGAGGCAGTTTAGGGATCCAGGCTTTGCTTTGGGACCTGACTACTTGTATTTCCTTAATTTTCTTGCTTGTTTGCAAAACCGGGACACTCTTTTTCCAGCTGGAGTGTGTGAAAACGGAATGAAATGAGCTGTGTTAAACCCTTAGCACAGGGCCTCCCCGGTGGCGCCAAGGGGTTAAGACGCAACCTGTGAAGCTGTCCGCAGCCTCTGCAGGACGAGTTCGATCCCCAGCCAGGGAGAAACCCACATGGCTCAGCAGACCTCTCCTGCCTTGCCTGCTGCTCCCCTCAGCAGTGTATTGCAGTCAGTCTGCCTGTTCTGTTCCCCACTTTGTCTCTGGTGAATCCTCCCCCTCCCCAGACTTCTGGCCTGTAACCCGGTTCTTGAATGCATAAATAAATAAATCTTAAAAAACAGAAAACAACCCTTAGCACAGTAGGTAGAGACAAGAAAATGGCAATTTGGTGCCTGTCCTGCAGAGGTATGTGGTGATGGTGTACAAGGCCATGAATGGGGGAAACCGGTTGTGTGGTAGCACTTGGCCTCTCTTGCCCACCTCTTTAGGCAGGGTCTTCCAGGATATGTGGTAGGACTCAACCGATAACTCTCACAACCCACCTCTCAGCCTTAGGGGCTGTCCCTTCCAACAGCACCATGACAGGAGCACACCACTCCACTGACTTCCTCTACAAAGACCTGGGTGGATGGGCGCTTCTGCCTCTAAGAAGTCACACCTAGCTGAAGGCCTGGTGGGAAGTAAGAAGCAGAGACGTCTTTGGGGGTAGAGGACAACTGACTCACCCCTCCCCCACTAGTGCAGAGGCGCTTCTGTGATGGAACAGAAAATCTCCATTCCCACCCCCAGAAAGAAACTGAGAGGATGACCCCAAAAGGAGGCAGGTGGTCTCACCAATACTGTGTCCCTCACTTTCTTCCCCCAAACTCCATCTCATATGGGCTCCAAAATCAGGAAGTTTTACCAGATCCCGGTGTGGCCCCCGGAAGGGAAATGACCCACCATGAGGGGAAGTGCTGGAGTTTCATTTCCTACTTGGGCCCATCACTCAGGGGACCCAACCCTTTTCCACCTGCAGGGCCTCCCCTGCTCCTGCTGTCCAGGGAGCACTCTCTTGTGACTCTCAGGTCTTCTAGATTTCTGGATCAGCCATCCTAATGAGTATTCCTCTGTCTCTACTACCACCCAGAAAACTGTCTCCTAACGCACGTTTTCCTTTCCTCCCTCCCCTTCTATGCCTAGCATCACAAGCTGTCACAGCATCTGCTTAAAACCTTCCATTGCACTTAGAACAAAACCCACTTCCCCACCCCAATCTACGAAATTCTAAATGACACCCTTCCCACCCCTGGCCTCCAAGTCACATCTCATTTCCTACATTAGACTCCAGACACAGCAAACTCCAGTTCTTCAAACCTAACAAGCTGTTTCCTGTGTTAGAGCCTTTATATGTGTGGTTTCCTCTTGCTGGAACATTTCCCTGACTCTTTACCTGATGGACTCATCTTCCAATTCTTAGCCTAACGCTCATCTTCAAAGAGGCCTTCCTTCCCGACCCCATCATATTACCCTAGCATATCACCATCGATGCTCTTATCCCAAATGAAAATACTGTTCCTTTATTGTGGGTCTCCCTTGCTTTTCCCAACTCTGCCCTGGACAGAGCCCCAGCAGGCCAGGGACCTGGTCTGTCTTGTCAGCGTCTGTCTCCACGGTGCTAAACATTTTTGTTGGTTGAAAGATGATATGAATGAATGTGGGAGGATGGGTGTTGGGAAAAGGCCAGCGAACAGAGGAGGGGGGCCTGGGAGAGAGACAGGGTGGCAGCAAATCTTGCCAAGAGGGTAGAGGAAGGCCTGCAGGAGGTAACAACAGGACTTCTCTTCCTCGCTGCAGAGGTACGCACCCAACCCACACATTCTCTCTCTTTTTGCAGACTGTTGTCCACTTTAATAACTCACTGAATTTTCACGTGTTCCTGATAACCCTGGAGTCAATGGATTGTCATCACCAGTTATGCAGGGAGATCTGAGGTAACTGATGTGCACCACATCTGCTAGTAAATCTGCAGCGCCTAGTGCCACAGCGTTCATGAGTGATGGTTGGAAGGAGACATTTAAGACATTTAAGATTATCTTTGGGGACTATTTTCTTTTTTAAAAAAATTTATTTATTTATGCATACAAGAACTGGGGTACAGGCCAGAAGTGTGGGGGGGTGAGAGGATTCACCAGAGACAGAGTGGGGAACAGAACAGGCAGACTGACTGAAGTACACTGCTGAGGGGAGCAGTGGGCATCAGGAGATGTCTGCTGCGCCATGTGGGTTGCTCTCTGGCCAGGGATTGAACTCATGCTGCAGTGGCTGCGGACAGCTTCATAGATTGCATCTTAACCCCTTGAGCCACCAGAGAGGCCCAATGGTAACTATTTTCTTATAAAGAGGAACACATGACATGATTCTCCAAACTCCAAAACTGTCATTATGGTTAAAGGAAAAGCTTATTTTGTGTACACTTTAAGCATCAGCCAGCTCAGTGTGTGAGCATCATGCTAAGTTCCAGACTCCATGCAATGGGTGTGGAGACCGTCAAAGTGACTTCTAAGTTTAGAATGAGTTGCTTGACAGCACAAATGCTTTGTCTTTTCTCCATCACTAACATTTGAATTTGTTTTCCAAGTTTCTGGGTGAAAGTTGCTTTAAATTACTAGAGCAGTGGTTGTCCAACTTTAGTGGGCATTGCCATCTACAGGGCCTGTTGGACCTCATTTCCTGAATGCTGAGACCTGGCAGGGTGCCTGACATGGTGCGTTTTTCACAAGTTCCCCGTGAAAGCTGCTAGTTGGGGAACGCACTGAGGACACCTGTCTCGACTCCTATGCTAGCTCCCCTAGGGAGCAGGTCACACCCAGCCCCCTGAGTAGAAGTGGGGGCTAGAGGGCCTCCCCTGGTGGCGCAGCGGTTGAGCGCTGGGTTGAGCACTGGCCTGCAGCCTCTGCAGCGCCAGTTCAATCCCTGGCCACCGGAGAGGGTCCCACCAAAAAAAAAAAAAAAAAAAAAGAAGTGGGGGCTAGAGATGAGGACAAGTCTGGAGCAGAGGGCAGGAAAGACTGGGGGCAAAGATGCCCCCCAACACACACACATACTGTTCCTGTGGCTGCATGCAGAGCCTCCCCACTCTGCTGTGACTACACAAAGCCCCCTTTCACTGGCAGGACTTCTCAGGTTTGGTTAACCCCGCTAAGAAAACAAACAGCTCTTGGGGCACAGCGGCGCCACTGGCACAGAAGCTGATTCTTCTCCTGCGGCAGCAGAGGCGGTCAGGGCCAGAGGGGGACAGCCACCCAGGTTCCCAGTGCCAGGCTGGTCCTGGGAGGTCAAATCCAGGTTACCTGGGCAGCCTTGGACACTCCCTTATCTGCACAATGGAGACATGTGTCACTGAATGACTTCATGCTTCGGAAGTGCCTATGGTCTTGCACACAATAAATGTTAGCTATTCTTATTGGCATTACACAAAGTAATTGTTTTTTAGGCCCCTATGGTGGGACATTAGCAATTACACATGGTTCCTCCTAATATCTTGTTAGTGATTAATTTTTTTTTTAAAGATTTATTTATTTATACAAGAACCAGGGTACAGGCCAGATGCACAGGACGGTGAGAGGATTCACCAGAGAGAGCGCGGGGAGAAGAACAGGCAGACTGATGAAATACACTGCTGAGGGGAGCAGCAGGTGCAACAGGAGAGGTCTGCCGCGCCATGTGAGACCCTCGCTGGCTGGCTGGGATCGAACCCACGCTGCAGAGGCTGAGGACAGCTTCACAGTGCGGTGCTCAACCTCCTGTGCCACCAGGGAGGCCCAGTGATTAATTTTTGAAATAATAAAACCAACTTCTATTCCTCTTTCAGTACCCAGATTACAAGGTAAGCCTTGAAAAAAACTATTAGCTATTTCAACTACTAACTCTGACTTGGATTTTCCTTATTTTCTTAATGTCATGCCACCAAAAAAAGAGTAAAAGAATAAATTGGGGGGGAGGGTGGAGAATAAATGGAAAGCAGAGGTTGGTGTAAACTGGCAACTATCCTGTTCATCCTCACAGACTCAGGGAGTATTTAATGACTGCCTTTTTAATAGGTACAGCTTATACATTTGAAGTAATATAATAAACATTTTTATGTTTTGAATATTGGCCTTTGGTATAGATGTTGAAAACTAGTTCTGCTGCTAAAACGCTTCAAATTATCCAGTTAGTCTAAATTCATTTTATAGGTGGAAAACTGAAGTGTGAGGAGGATGTGGGTCCTGGAGAGGCCTGTGTTAGGAAGGCGCCTCTGCCAGGCATGTCCTGC